TCAAGCTTCGTCAACAAAATTCGCGTCATCGATTCTAAAAAAAGGACAATATTTGCTAAATATTGTTTACGTATTGACGTATTAGCTATCGGTCGCAATAAATCGGATACAAAAAAAAACTCTAGCTAGTTGTAAAGCGCATACAACGATAATGTGGTGGCAATCATCTTGTATCAATAAATCCCGAAATCGCTTCGACGTCTAACTTCGGCGGTGATTTCGGCGCTTAATGCGATTTGACTTTATTTCGGGTTGGACCGGGAGCTAAAATCGGGGAGAGCTGACAAATATACCAAATTCACAATGTAGCACGGTGACACATGTATACAAATAACGCGTGTCGCGTTCGCGCGCCCGTCGCGACAACGGTCATTCGTTATTCCAGCGAGTTAATTTCGATCAATCGCGGCACCGCACGGTAGACGACCGATTCCCGCTGAGGATAACAGACCTGTTAGCCCCGGCGTTAAAACTACAAGAGCGATATAGCGATATGGGGGAGAGTAGAGGGGGGAGGGGGAGGAAAGAAGGAGCACGAGGAGGCGAGAAGACGAGAGGCAGGCACGATCCATTAGTAGGCACGTCAATTCACCTCTTAAGAAGCGACTTAAAGCCGCTTCCACCTATCTTGCCTCTCTTCTACATTTTTCTCTTTTTTTCTGGTCTTTCTCGCGCTCGCGTTCCGCCCGCCCCCTCTTCCTCTCCCCCCCCTGCTCTTCCTCTTATTAGTGGCGGCTGGTGCCCCTCGCCTTTTACCTCTTCTTTCTTTTCCCGCGCGTACGGTATCATAATTAATGATAATTCGATTAGCGGGACAAGATTGGGTCTCGGCTAAGCAGCCTCCGTCCTTTTTCCTCGGCGCATTTCTCCCGCGGTTGGTCCACCTGGCTCCTACCTCCGTAATTTCCTTCGAAAACGATCAACGTAAAATCCTCGGGAATAAATGCCGACAATTAATCCCACGTCGAACATATTAAGCTTGACAGAGGCTTATTCAGGCTTGTTATAGTTTTGGAATCGGATAAGAATGAACTTTATTCTATATGCGTTTATTTTTCCAATTCGGAACGTAATTTCTTTTATCGACGTTTCCACTTCCGATAAGATTACGAGGTTATTTGATTTGTGAAATTTAATGAAAATCGTTTTCTAAATAGAAATATGTGCCTCGAAAAACGAAACAATAAACTTTTTATTGATCAACGCTATACATTATAGTATTTATTAGACCATCCTCATTATTTTGTAGAATAAAGGAATTAATCACTACTTTTATATCAAAATACTTTTACCACATTTTCAATACAGTTACATTAAATATCATGTATCGCGGATAATATAAATTCTTTTACACTGTAAAATCTTTTTGATCGATCTTATTAATCATAAATAAATTGGAGCTACATTAAAAGAAACCGTGATAATTGCGTCATTTCAGAGCTTGACGTGAAAGTGAACGAGGTTGCGAGCGTCGCTATAATTCCAGTCTTTTACATTCTTAAATTTTTCGAAGTAAACTCATAAGCGAGCAATTTTGCTGACCGATTGACACGCGATAAACGCTTCGATATCTCGCGCTACGATATTCATGTCATTGTCAGTCGGAACGGAAGCTACTGTTACCGTGAGAAACAATGCAACCTCGTTGAAAAATTAACAGTATCGCAACAATATCGATCCCGTGATGTGAACTCCCGGCCACGCGGGAAACGCGAATGCAACTCGCTCCGTGATGTGACGCTAATTTATATCACTTTACGGGGATAATATCCGATAGCTGTTCGCCCATTTTTTTCGTCCGCGCACCGTACACCAATAATGGTAGCGCCGGCACAAAATTGTTTTGTCGATTCCGACCCTTCCGCCGAAAGTGTTGCGTCGATAACTCGCGGCTCTCTCGCCCACCCCGGGTTTGTGTGTGCGCGCACTTTCAGAAATGACACGAACGACATTTCGCGGGCAGCGTAGGCGAAGCCGGAGACGAAAGTGTCTCGAAACAGGAATTATCGGATATACGTTTCATCGAGCGGGGGAGAGGTGAAGGAGGGGGTGGAGGGGACACGCTCCATCTACGTGTACAACCGACCCGCTCCGGGTCGGTTCGATCGCTCGATTCGGTTTCGACGCTGAATTAGCGTGTCCGCCTAGTTTGGAGAACGAGATCTAACGTCGCGATACTAACGATTTTCCAATTATACGCTAACGCTAACCGACGAGACGCCCCATGCCGAACCGCTCCCGTGCGGCCGTAGAATCACACGTATACACGACAGGTGTGGGATCAGTTCCGCGCAGGAAATTGACGCCAACACCAGTGTGCATCCTTAGAATGATTGTGGGCTTTAGACAATATATTATCCACGGTCTTCTTAACTTTCATATATTTCAAACAAAGAGATAATTATATATAATTTATGTTTTAATGTTGTTAAATTCGTTGTCGGTGAAATTAATTTTATTTTTATTTTATGTTATGTCTTTTCAAATCTCTAGGATTCTATCGAAAAATAATCATCTTGCTATAGTTTATAGAAAAATAAATTATAGTATTTTTAATAATTATCTATTTTAATACACAGAGAGAAATATTTGTTTAGATTTAACAAGTTTCGAAAGAAATTGTTTCGAACAATCGTGTCCTTTTTGCCAAATTGTGTGGTTTCATACAACTAGAATTTGTATTTGATAAAATAATATTTTATTCAAAACTTTGTTGTTTCAATAAAATAAATGTAAGCCGAACAAATAAAAATACCGAGTGTAAAGAAGTATTTTTCTCTGTGCAATTGTTGTATAATTTATTCTCACTTTTAATTCAATTATTTAGGAAAAGATAAACATCTACCTTTTCTCTCTTCTTTCTCTCTTTCTGAAAACATGACTATTTCAGCACTAAATAGAATAATAATAACGAAATACTTACATTAGGATCTCATTACATGAATTGAATTTAAATGTATTAATCATCGACCGCGATAATGTCACCGCGGCCAGTTGTCCTCGTGGAAACATGTAGTCCATCAATCATTGATATATGGATCATGGACGTACGATAAAGTTGTATAGACGAATTATTTCGATGTAATAAAAATAAAGCGGCTCCGTGTTGTTAGAAGCAAATATTTACCGGCCGCGGAAAATACGGCGTAAATTAAATAATGCGGCGCACAAATGTCTCGTAAGAAGGTGAAGAAGTATATAGTGCGCGGTAAATTGATTTCAGTACGACGGAAAATCACGCGACGAACGTAATTATTATTCAGATCTTCACCTATCTGTGTTGTTAAATTTTATTGGACTAACGAAACTTTCGTCAATCGCAAACGGGTACGTACACGCGTAAGTGAGATTATACAGCTTTGTTTTATTGTGCCTCGAGAAAATGACGTGTAGTTATAAATATTTCCTTTTTAACTCTTAGAAAACCAGCTGATGTGTGAAAATTTCAATGTCTAAAAAAGGGGGAACTGTAAAACTCTAATGGAAAACTCTTCTAGTTTTATATTGTATACATACGAGACAAGATGTAGCACATGCGCTTAGTTAAATGAAGCGGCGCAATGATTTTCCCATTGTTAAGAGATGCAATAACTGTCTCGTTTCACAGTAATATTCTAATAATTATTTAATTTTCATCGTTTTGCGACAAATTGATAACCGCTGTTAATTTCATCGTCGAACAATTATTGCATGGCGCCACTTATATATACGAAACATCCAAATCAACTCCCTCGATTCCATTACGTTTCTCAATTATTTTTCTTAAATTCTGTCCTCGGGGATGCGGAGGGTATACGTACGTACAATCGATCAAACGCGACCCCGGCGATAATTAATCGAAACTCGATCAAACTGTGCATTTACCTGGCCGTAACGCAACTGCCAGACGGGATAGCAAAGCGAAACTCGCGCGGCGCTTGATCGTGTCTGTCCAGGCAGGATGCAAGATTCAACAGACGGACAGCGGAACGGTTTAGTCTGCTAATCGAATTAGTCCGTAAATGCGAAAAAATAATCGGACCCCGTGTGGAAAACTACACGCGGCCGTCGGTCGAAATTCAGTTAGGTTCTCTGACAATTACGCTATTAACGCGCTATTGATTTTTCGTTTTGGGGCAGTGATACCACAAGTTTATATCTGAATATGCTCGACCGAACATTTCACTTTGATTGCATTCGTTCTTTAAACGCGCCCGAAATCGAGCTTTCGATTTTCGAAAGCTTGTTAAAAAATTAAAAACTAATGATTTAATTAGGAATTAATAAAGAGATTCGTAAACTGTATAATAAATTTTTAATTAACAGCTGAACGATAATAAATGATGTGTTGACGACTAACAAATCGTAGATGGATAGTGGCGAAGGAAAGGGTAATTGAATGGAACGGACGACTGAAGCTGCAATGTTAATGTCGTTAATGGATTTCGAAAGATTTCGTAATAGATTTCAGTAATATAAAGTATTTTATAATTTAGAAATCTATGACTTTGCATGCCTCACAAGCAAAAACCCTTAGAAAGCTAATATATGAGCGCTAATTTCTGCGTGCATTAATCCGACGGCCCGAGAAAGCGACGAAATCGTTTGCAGATTCGCGTTGCGTTAATTCAAAAATTTTGACGGAGAAATTGCTAACAAAGAAAAACTATATTTCTGTATTAAATTAACTGATCTAAGCGAATATATGCAGCGTTAGTTTTGTTTTAAATTTTGACAAGTTATTACAAGATATTTTCAATATATTGCTGTAGTTTCATAACCGTTTAATTTTCCGCAAGATTTTGAAACGTTAAGCATCACATAATGTTAAAGAAAGAAGAGCTATTGTTATTTTTAAAATTTAAAGGTTAAAAATAAAAATTTATATCAGATCCTTAATTTTAATTCCCTTTTAAAAGAATTTTCCTTGTGAGAAGCATTCCTAAGAAAGTGGAAAAGTAATTTTAGATATTACTAATGTTATATAATAAGATATATTGTAGGCGGGAGTAAGTTGGTACCGGTGTTTTCCTGCGTATCGCGACTGGTGTCTTCCATCTCCTGATGAGTCCTTTTATGGCTGGCCAAACCGAGGATCGCGTCGATGCTGTGTCGCGGTGTGCTGCTGGCCGGTTTCGGTAAAACGATGTCTTGACTGTTCTGCGAGGCCGTGTCGACGAGCTGCTGCGAATCCATTGTCAGGAACGCTCTCGTGTTTCGATGGACTCTTCCCGGGGATTGCTCTGAGTCGGATCACCCACCCTCGCGCCGATTAAAGATCTCGCGAATGATGACTCCGCGCGGGTGCACTAAAGCTCGACAATCGCACGACGAAACTCTTTGGCACACGTGTCCCTCACCGTGAAGTGCATTTCGGACAACTGCATCACGCACTGCTTGAGTTTGCGGTCTGTCAGTCTGCCGGGGTAACGTTTATTAAAACTTAGGTACTTTCGGATATCCGATTTATATTTTTTACAGAGCTAAGAATCTCGTAGTTGCCTGGACGTTTAGCCTGTGTCAATCGATTAATAGGATCATGTCATCAGCTCGAACAATCGCCGAATTAAATTCGAGTTTAGAAATATTCACCCCAGCGTTCGATCTCTCTCGCAAAGTCAGTCGAGACCCATTCAATATACGCAGCTAAATTTCATAATGAATTTTTGTAGTCACATGTCACCTCCTCACAAGTCATGGTATAAATCATGGCACTTTCATCAACATGTTCTGTCGACACGGAACTGATCTGCCCCTTTTAACAATCATTTAGACAATAGAAGACAGATCTTTCATTGAAATTTTCCCAAATGTTTATCACCAGTGTATTAATTAGTACTTTAAGAAATGAATACCTCGCTATTGTTTACTAACACCAGATATCGTCCAAGAACCGAGTCTCTTAACAATCCCTTGAATCATCCACCGTCCACCGCGAACACCTACTTAGCTCAGAAAAAGTGAAATCGTTTACGAGGAGGAAACGTTATCCTCCAATTTCTCGGGACGTCCAACTTTGTCTTCGCTTTCATTCACTTTCGCAGGCGATCAGATGGCTAGATGGAATCTTTCTCGTTAAAGGTCGAAGCTCTTGAGCGTGCGTCGTGTCAACGAGGACTAGCCGGCCGTCGTCTACCGGGGTGGCCTTTGTTGCAGCTGTACACAACTACTCCCGAAGACTACTCGCCGGTGAAAGAGGTGGTCCAGGCATGAGCCGCGCGGGGGGCGTGGCCCGGATCGACGAATCAGCGACGCCGTTCGTCGGGCTCGCGACCAATCGCGGCGGGGATTCGGGAACATGGCGAGATCAGTGGCGCTCAACCGACGGGTTTTAGAGAGTAACCCTCTCTCTCGGACGGGGGTAGCCGCAGGGGTTGAGGAGGACGGGCTCCCATGACGCCGTAACGCGCGTCCCGTCCCCACCACAGGGTGTACGACGTGTACGTGTGTGTGAGCGTACAGAGGTGCTGTTGTGTGCGCGCGTGTACCCGCGTGTGTACGAGCGAAGTATGTGTAAGGGTACGAACACAGGAGAGACGAGCAGCGAGTCCGCGCGCACACGCGCACCGCGAAGGGGTGGTTCACCTAAACAGAGGTGGATGGTACACACACGCGGCCGGAGTGGGTTGATTCTTGCGGCGGATTCTGGCATCCCCTGTAATTGCCAGAAATGAGGTAAAGCTTACCGCTTACGCCAAGCCTCCTACGCTTCTGGATGCCCCGCGGATCCGCGGGACCTTACGCGCCCCGCACGCTTTTGTCTGCGATTCACCTACGCGCCTACTTGTATCGTCGCACCGTTTTGGGCTCGTATATATAGCAATTCGTTTTCTATTCACAGATTAAAACTGATGTAAATCTGATGAATTTAACTTTCGATGTTAGCACGTGAAAATCAATGTTTATTCGTGACATTAGGAACCTGACTTTATCAAAGTTTTTGCTTTAAGGACTTTAAGGGAGACCGAAAGATTCACCGCGTTTGAAATAACTTTTCCGCAGACTGCAGAGTATTTATTTTGCAGCTGTTTACCGCGGTGAATTAACAAGCAAAAATATTGTTCCTACGTGGACATTATTTAAAATTTAGTACGATACAATAAAATAAAGCCTCATTTATTTTATTGGCTGCAGTCAAAGTATTAGTATATTTACGTAATATTATACATTATATTGATGATCACGTATGTATATTATAGCGTTTATATTATACGTGCGCACAATCCCGACTCGCATAAATGTCACGAGTTCAAATAAATTTTCTCATTTAAAAACAAATATCATGTTTGCAGATTCGCGATTATTATCGAGGCCAATGGTGTACTTATCAATTCTACAATTTAACATCATTGTTATGAAATTATAGCTATCAATGTTATCTTGAGCCAATCCGCGAACACACTCAATATCGCGAAATCGCCCGTGCGATAAGACGGGAATTTATTTTTGGCGAAAACAGTTTTATAAGCGTTTTGGAGCGGGTTTTTTTTCTGTTTTACCGTTATTTCCTTCCGCAAACTCCCGAAATTAGCTTCGCGACAAAGAGACGAGAGAAGTGGACGTTTTCCGGTTACCAGAATGGCGGATGCCGCGTTGGAAATTGTTTCTTTTTTTCGAGCGGCGTGCCGGCCGAAAACCGTGCGCACAAAACGAATCCCCGTTTCCCATTCCACGTTCGATTCCGCGTATCGTCGTTACCATTTGGCGTTTTAGCCCGGGGGGAAGTGTACGCCCACAAAACCGCGCCACAAAAGATATCCGCCTGTAGCGAAACAGTAGCTACTCAAAATCGATCCGACTAAATCGAGGCAAATTATACGTTGTGGAGACGAGAGAGAGAGAGAGAGAGAGAGAGAGAGAGAGAAAGCGCTCGCGCGCGCACTCACGCTCGCGAGCGCGCGCGCGCTTCTCTCTTCCGTTATAGAAAAGAACCCCCGCGTTGTGTGTTCGTTCGCGCGCGGCTCCGGGTCGCTGCGTCGCCGAAAATGCGCCACCGCCTGTAATCGGATTGTGCATGTATGCATTGCACCTCGCGAAAGAGAACCAAAGCTCGGGCGTGAAGATGAATCACAACGGTGGCGTTTATCGATATTGCATTTACTCATCATTCACGCGTTTACGATCGTGTTTACGAACGCGCGTGGCTTGAGGAAAGAGAAATAAGTAATCCGCAAAAAGTAAAAAAAATTAAAAACCCAATTATCTGGGCAGTAAAGATGCCTTTTCTTTGTTTTCCCTTCTTTCTTTCTCTTCTATGTCTTCAACAATATCTATATTTTTTTTATATCGGTTTTTAGCACTTATTAGAGAAAAATATAGTGGTAGCAACTATATGGATGACAATTATATACACAAGTTTTATATGTAGAATAAATGTACATAGTTGAATAAACATAGTAAGTATATGTATGTATATATTAGAATAAATTATTTGTTATAGTTGGAAAAACTATAAAACAGTCCATTTCTTTATATATATATATATATAAAATTAATTCTACATATATATGTAAAACTTGTATATAGTTGTCATCTGTTTAGTTGCCATTATTATGTCTTTTTCTCTGATAAGGGAAGAGAGTAAAGAGTACTTTATAATTATAATTAAAAAAATTTTTTTATATATTCTTACAACTTAATTTTTTCAAAATTTCTTTTATGATTAAATTAAAGGTACTTTTTAAACTTTCGTTCTGACAAATTTCTTTTATCTCGGTAGCCCGGCATTTATAATCGCATAATTCTTATTTCAAGATCGTCTTAATAAGTAATGTCTTAAGATGCTAATATGGTTCTGTGATTGGCTTATGATATCTTAAAATTGTATTTAAGACGATTCTTACACGGAAAGAACACTTTTGCTGAATCCAGATCTGAAAATAATTTTTGTTCAACAAAAATAATTTTGCGTAAAAGTCAAAATGATTGCTAGAATATCAAAACGTTTTATAGCAATGCTTATCAGTTTTAACATTCCAATAAATTATTTTAATAATTTAATAAAAAATTATTTTCAGTTCTGTTTTTAGCAAAATTTTTAGACCTTTCAAATCGTTCTTTCCGTGTACATATATAAGAATTGATTATGTGAATCGGCCGTATAGTTTCCCTTCGAAAGAAAATAATCAATTTCTTTTAAGGGATGTTTTACCCCTTAAAAATTGCATTTGGGCACGTATACAAAAATACGTGTCCTTTATTTTTGTCTAGAAAGAGCGTATTCAAAGCTCATCAAAATCGGAGGGTGTCCTTTCTTTGTGCAAACAGTACAAAGAAAATAATTCTTTTCTTATCTCATTATTATAACGAAGGCTTCCGAAAATTAAAATTATGGTATAATTTCAAACATGATTAATCATATTTAATTATCTAGTTGTAGTCAATGTATTAAAATTTCTTTACTATTTCTATCATATCTCAGGGTTAATTTCATCATTTTCAATTAACTTAACCAGTCGAGTATTTTATTAGAATTGATCAATGATATTTTTTGTTAACTAATCCGAACTGATCAATCACAACTGGCACTTAATTGATTAGTTAAGTCGAAGATGAAAAAATTGGCTCTTAATCTCATTGGTCTCGTTTTGAAAAAAGTTAACGACTTTTGTTATCGATACAAAGGTGATATTAACGTTTTTTAAATAATGTTATTTAAAAAATCGAACTTGTATGAAATAGGACAAAATAAAATAAAATCCAGATTGGTTTAATTAATTAAAACAATATGTTTTATTCACCTGGCATCTGGAAGATTGGCGCGAAGGCACAATTCCCACGTGCTTTCTCGGGCGGGTATTGTATTCGCACACGCGCTCGAGCGCGCGCGCGAATATCCCGCGAACAATTTCGACAATGCCATTTTCATCGGCGTCCAATCTCCGTTACGAATCTGGCTTGATCGCGGCCCTCGTGGGGCCGGTCAGGCGGGCGAGGAAAGCTTTTAGGTCCCGTAGAAATCAGATCACGAGTTGCATTTAACCGGATCCCACTTACCGCGATAAATATCTCGACGGAGAAGCGAGGGATCGGGCCCATGTTAGATCGACGCCGATTTATTCCGTGGCCATTCTGTCTCCCCGGTGCACTTAGCACCAGTTTCAGCTAATTTTCCAGACAAAGAGCGAGACAGCGATCTCCCAGCGAACTCTTAAGAGGTCCTGAAGTAAAGCCAGGTAGCTGCTCCCGTCCGTTAAACGTTTCGACTTAACCGAAAGACTGACGGCTGACTAACGATTTTTTGAGAAGAAACGGGAGCTACGGCGCGTATAATTTTATGTTACGAAGAGATGACACGAAAGCCTTTTAATTATTAAGATTTGAGAAACAAGATCGTTTTTACAGGATGGTTTCAATATAGGAAGGTCCCGAAACCATTTAATTATGTTTTAACATTAGATTAATGTCTTTTTTAAATTCAAAATTATACTCGTATTAAAGCTTTGAGAACAATATGTCTACATATAATACTATATGATTTGTATCTTTTGAAGATAATCTAAAAAGAGGGAAATTTAAAAAAATAATATAATAGATTATTTGAAATAAAAATAAAATATACAAATTTACTAACAATAAGAACAAATATATTATAGTTTCTTTTATAAAAGAAATATTGTAAATAAAGATAAGTTTTTATTTAAGATTAAAGTTTTCTAACATTTTCTTAACGAATTTCAATTAAATCTAATTTTATTCAAGAAAATTAATAAATCATTTGTTTTTATTTTTTTTATAATGTATAACTTGCTCAAATGTTTTCGTAAGTAAGTTACGCAATTATCGAGAAATTAAATCAAGTAATTGCTTGATATTTTCATGTCACCAAAAGAAATCTCGTCTGCATGAATGCGCCGCATTCTTCAGAATAAAAGACACTCGACACCACGTCAAAGCGACGTTTCAAATTGTATAAAAACTCCGCTATTCTCCTCCTATCATCCACGGTTCATCGGTAAGCGGATCGTACCGAAAATTACCGTAAATTCGGCTTCTGTGTATCCAGATTTTCCCATTTGATACTCCTCGACTATAACATTGTGTGGCCGTGCTCCGTAGATCCGTCATCGGCTCCTATCGGTCGGTTTTTCACAATGGCGCGTGCGTCCGGCCG